TCGGTTATTCGCAGAAAGATACAAATCTTATTTAATTATACGATGTTAATATATTTTGCAAAGACTTAAAATTTCGGATTTCTCAGCGTATGAGACATTTAGTGTCCGTCTCTGTGAGGAATAAGACTCTAAATGTTGGCAAAAAGAGTTGATGATGACTTTAGAAAGACTTTTTTTTTTTAGTATATGAAGATGCAAAGACGGTGAGCTATTTACAGGAGGGTTGAGAAGAAAGGATTTCGCTACTTGAAAGGTTCTAGGCGAGAAATAAAAACCAGGATAATCCTCATGCCTTGAATGTTTGAAAAAACTTGAAGTTTCTCGCAGGGAGATACATATCTTATTTAATAATAAGACATTAATTTATTTTGTCAAGACTTGAAATTTCGGAGATCTCAGTGGATGAGACTCTTAGTGTCAGGCTTTGAGTTCTAAGTGCATTTGGCAAAAAACAACAAAAAGAACTTTTATTTGGCAGCATATGAAAGCGCCAAGACGGCAAACAATTTACGCGAGAGTCGAGAATAATGGATTTCTACTTGGAAAGTTCTGGGCGAGAAATAATCCTTATTTCCATAATATCTAAGAGCATTGAGAATTATGCATTTCGCTATTTAGAAAAGTTATAAATGTTAGGAATAATCCTTATTATTATTTTTCAACAAAAAGCAGAATTCTTAAAAATGTTTCTCGATCTCACATTGGAAGAAAAAACAAAACACGCAAGATTAAAAAAAAGCTTGTTTATTCTCCTTGAAAATCGGTTTTTGTACCCGATTTGATATGAATGGTTAACACTAATAAATTAAGGTACAGTACTATCCGGCCTACTTAAAAAAGAGCATTGAGAAACACATCGTGAGAAGTGAAACTAAGAGTGCTAAAGCAGTACATTTTGTATTCTTCCTAATCATACATTTTTCTTTTCACATTTGTGTACTTCATTAGTCGCTGAGCATTTTTGTATTAATCATTTATCTAAAATTGTGTAACATTTGTTAATGACATGGGAGAGGGGTTAGGGAGTAAAAATTCGTCCTATTTTAGTATCCGGTATTCCCTTCTGCCACATTATACCGGATAGTCGGGAGCGTAATGTATATTATGTGTTAACTTTGTATAACGGGTTTCCACAGAAAAAAAAGCAACAAAATACTAGCTTTTAGTCTAAAGCATGAAAATAGTTGCCTAAATAAGAATAATTTTTTTTTCAATAATATGACTAAGTTTAATTAAATGACTTAATTGTCATATACCATGATCCATTTAGTCAAGTTGGTAACAAATATGATAATTTTTATTAGTGTTCTAGCACTAAATTTTTAATTCAAAAAAATTAGTATATTTTCAGAAAATTAATGACTTTTAATTACTAGAATTCGTTAAAAAAAAAAAAACCTTATCTGGGTTTTTTATTTTTTAGGGAAAAAAATCTATTCTGTCCAAAAGCTCTTGCAGGCAGCAGGTTGTCAACCCAATTTACGCTAAAAACATCGCTAGTACAGAAAAGTTTCCCATTAGTCTCTTTTTCCTGAAAATAGTGGCTTTTCTAGCAGAAATTAGTTGCAAATAGTCGCATTTTAATTGCCTGTGGCAACCCTGTAACATGCAAATAGTACAGAAAAATTCAGATCATTATATCGGAAAACTTCTCCCAATCAAACAATTAGTTTCAACTAGCGTGAACTGCAGCAAATTTCATCTTTTAGGCAAAATCACTAAATACCTAAAATTATGAGCTTTATATTTTCGAAAATAAATTACTAACAGAGATTCAGTGAAGTAAGAATGAAATAACACAAATTCTCCAAAATTCTGCTAGGAATCTTTTTCATTTAAGTTCAATTCGTTTTATCATTCTAGTTTTAAGTTTTAATGTATTTTAGTTTCAGCAAATAACACTAAGTAAGCTAAAATCACTAACGTTCCCCTACTCTTAAACTAAAAACTCAATTTAGAAGTTAGTTTAGAGCCATTCCTTGAAAAAATGCCTGTTAGGACTACTTTTGGAAAAGTTACTTGAAAAATGATCATTTTGAATCAAAGCTATAATGAAGTAGATTCGATTTGGAGCGAATTTTTCCTGTAAAAACACCCATTTTAGAGCAGCTACTTGGAATTCGAGAAATATCATTGGCTAAATGGGATTTTAAGTATTTTCTAGGTAAGGGACAACTTGTTTCTTTTTTATGATTAGTTAGACCAAAAATCTAGTTCATAGTTTTAAGTACCAGAAATATTTTATACTATTGGCGGACAATACCTTAGTTTGACTTATCGAATTTCACATGGTCTCAACATTGTCATATTTTCGTTTAAAAAAAAAGTAAATAATGGGAAAAAAGAAAATTTCTATAAAGCAAAGCTTAGTAGTATACAAATATCTTGAACATTAGTCTAAATAAAAAAAAAGAACTATTAACAATCCCTTAATTCAATAACGAACAATAAATTAATAATTTTTATTAGAAAAGAAAGTGACTTTTAAAAGTTATGTACTATGTTTAAATTGACAATCGAGGATGATATGACGGCATTCAATTCATTTTTTAAATTGTAACTTAATAAAAACAGGTATTTGGATTTTAAAAAAAATCTTAAAAAACAGACCGAATTTAAACTTTAATTTACATATACTTTTGTTTTCTAATGAGCAATAGTAGTTGAACATGATTTATCAACCAAAAATAAAAACATTGAACGAGTTATTAAAAAATCGGGGGAGCGGGGGGAGATGCGTGAAAAATCAGGTTGGCGAGAGTAGTCTTCTCTGATTTCTTTTTCTTTGTTGCTATAGCGTTAAAAATTATAATAAATACGCGCATATGAAATGTTAAGAAATAATTTTCTAAAAGTCTTAAAGTTTTTTTTTTTTAACAGCTGAAACTTGGGAGCGATTTTCTTACACGCTACTGCAAGTGAAATCTTGACGCTATTTTGTTCTGAGAGGTCAACAGATACATTTTCGAAGTCAGTCACTTAAGTTTCTAAGTAATTGTCACCAATGCAAGCTTTTCAGCAATCGTATACCTGGACAACCAGACTTCCGCTCGACGAATTAGCGTTAACTTTTAATACTTTCCGCATTTTCAACTTATCTTTGAAAACCCAAATATTTCATTTCAAAAGCCTGAAATATGGTTTTAAAAAAATGTATAAATTTATTAAAAAATCTAAATTTTTGTGAAAAAATCATAATTTTTGAAAATAAAGACGAATCTAGGGAGGACTAAGAAATGCGGAAAATCTTTATTCTGGAACAATAACCAACACCGAACTTTGCAGTTAATTATTTTACCCACTTCAATTATGAACTACTCCTACGGAGGTTTCCCAATCATTACCGTTATCATATACTTACAGAATCTTGGTCATAAAAAAAGTGTTAAAGATACACATAGGGGAACGTAGCATGCTTAAAGCAAGAGAAAAGTCACTAAAATTTGATCTGAACAGATTACCTGAAAGGTGAGTAAAATAAATAAGCAAATAAAAAAAAAAGCTGCCTGTTTATTCAAGAAAAGAGAGGTGAGAGGAAACTTTAAACCTTCATTTTTCTTTAGACAATCAAATTTATACGTTTCTAATTTTATTTTAATATTGATTTCAGACTCCAAATATACATACTTTCTTGACTTCAACAAGGATTCTAATTCTTGCGTGAAGGGAATGATCATGGAAGAATCCACAAAAGGAAACTTCGATTATTGTAAAATATCAGACTATATTATGGACAGGTCAGAATAAAGTTAAGACTGATTTTTGGGTAAAAGAAGTCTGGAGTGGACAAACACTTCGATACAGACTCAAGTTTTGTTTCATTGAAATAAATTTAATGACTCGAGTTATTTTTATTTATGAACTATATGTAGTCATTTTCTATTTTATTGACATATTAATAAATATTTGGGAGGATGGATGTGATTGTTGCCATTATTCTTTAAATTGATTTATTTAGTTACTTCGTCAGCTCATAGATGGCATTATTGCATAATAATTCAAAACAAGAAGAAATGAGTTCTTTCAGATACCTCTTTTAGAATTTATACAAATCCTGGAATGTTAAAAGTACCCCTAACAGCAACAGCTCTTCCACCTACACAAGTCAGTGGGGAAAGACTATTTTTAGCTATGAAAAAATGTATATCGCTATCAAAGATCTTGCTGAAGCTATACAGTTGATTAGAAATTACTGATACCAGTTTTTCCAGTACAACTAACAGAAATCTGCTATGGCATTTTTTTTTTTTTGTAGCATCTATAACTTTTTTTAATCTTAAAAACAAAATAAGCTGTAACACATGCATATAGATGATTGCAAATATATATAAAGGAGCAGGAGTGATTGCCCTTTTTCTGCCTATAGACACTACAGCCCTGATTTTGGAGCTATTAAAGTGCAGCTCAATTTATTTAAAAAAGCAATTAAAAAATTTCCTCCCTTTTTTTTTAAAAAAAAAAAAATTGTTTTTGGATGTGAGAAGTCTTGAAATGAATAATTAATAAAATGCAAATCTATTCATTTTTCAGGAATCTTCTAAAAAAAATTTGTCACCAAGAAAAAAAAATTTTTTTCAAGTTCCAAGAACTCAGTGATAACATTGAGTTTGGCCAGGCATATGTTTAGCCAGGCATATGTTTGCCAGGCAGTTTGGCATATGTTTACATATGTCATACAGTTTGGCATATGTTTAGCCAGGTTTTTATGTTTATTATTATGTTTAGCCAGGTTATTATATGTTTAACCATATGTTTAGCCAGGATTCATAAGTTGTTCATTATTAAAAGAAAAAATTAGATTTAAAACTACAGATCATTAGTTTAATGTAGAGTGCATTTGCATCTTTCTTTATACTAAATAAAACGGTGTGTCAAATTAATATTAAAATTGATTAAAAAAATGAGATCAAACAAGTTACAAAATGTATACGAGTAGTTTATTACAACTACAAATGTAACAGCAAGAGAGAGCTAGTTAAAAATAAACACAAAAGTACAAATCAGATACATTAATTTTATTCATATCTAGGAGCCAGAATTGATGTATGAGATAACTACATTTGCTTTACATTTTAAACCAATGAAAAAATTTTTTTTCTTACATTAAAATTAAAATATCTTAGTTTCTCCAACTTTTTATTTTTTTTTCTTCTGCGATATGGAGCATATGATTCCACTCTTTATAATATTTATTATATGATGTAGCTTGCTTTTTATTTTTATTATATTCCTTTTCAGTCCTTTTTCTCTCACAGGAGTTGACAGTAACAAATATACACATTAATATTTTTTTTTTCATGAACGCTTATATATATCTGAATATAAATCAAAAGTTGTAAGAAACACGTTCGGTGTCGGGGATGTCGAATGCCTCGGCAAAGGTAAATGCTATTTCAAAAAAGTCAATCTACATCATATAATGTTGGCAGTTTCTTCAAATCACCTAAAAAAGAAAGATATAATGAATTAAGTTGTTTGTAAACATACTAACATATTTAACACTATAAAATTAAACTAGCAGTATTTTTTAATCCATACTAAAAAAATCCGCTGATTATTTCACTTGAGCTTATTATAGTAAAGGCAATTTAACATCTTTGAGTGAGAAATTATTTCTTCACTCCAACAACGATCGAATTTCAGTAGTTTAAAAATGTATTTCCTAATGGTAGCTAAGATGTTGAATTAATGTTTTAATAAATTAGCTTTTAAAAAATTTTGGTTACCAATACATATAAATTATTTAAACAGTTATATAAAAAAGTCAGATGAACTAAAGCTCAGATTAAGAAACTCGGATAAATGTTTTGAAAAAATTAGATTTGTTTCAAAATTTCTCCTTTCATTCCATAAAAAAAGTATTTAGACCAAACCTCAAATGTTGGGAGGGTATGATAATATTTTAAGATTATTACATGCATAGTTTCTTCAAAAAAATATGTATAAACAACTTTGGATATACTTTTCGTATAGGCGGATATACATAATGTATACAAACACATGAACTCCGTTAAAAGTTTTTGGTATGCTCATGAACAAAAACTTAAAATTTAACAAAAACAATAATTTTTTGTATTATTATCGATTGTAAAATGAATAGAGCGAATTATTTAAGTTTCAAAAAATTAAATTGAAAATTAATTGCAATAAAAATATTTATCAAATATTATCATTGGAATGTTCTATGTGGCTTAGAATTCAAATAGACAAAGATAAGTCAATAACTAGTTTTATATCTTCAAAAAGCTCCTAACTATCAAGAAATAAATTCTGATAAATATAATAATCAAATATAGAGCTTTATTACACTTATTAAATCTTGCTTGCCGAAAGTTCACTTTATCCAAGTCTGCAAACATGATAAAAAACAAAATCTGTATTCAATTTACTTTTTATTTTGCATAGGATGAAATCAACCCAACTTTATATACTAACTATGGGAATGTCGTTAATATACATTTTCAGCAATAAAAAATTTGTTTACACAACTTCTCATAAGAAATCTTAAGATCATTTTCAGCTGTTTTACACAAGAAATAAGTCAAATGCACACCTTTTCCTTTTGAAAATATTGCATCTTCAAAAATTGAATTTCTTTCACACATTTTAACCAGTTAGATGTGAGTCTGCCTCGATCAGGAACTTACAGGAGAGGGATTTATTAAGAATTTAATTTACTTTAATAAAAATACAACCCTTTTCCCTAAAATATATTTCCTACTAAATATTTACAGTTTTATAATTAACCATTTTACTACTAAACTAAATACTAAAAACAACTAAGCTAACATGCATCGAAAGGAGCTTTACAATCATATTACACCTAAGAATTATTAATAATTTGATATACTGTAAAAGAATTTAGAAATAGTTATTACTAGCTATTTTTTTTTTATCAAAAATCTTTTGTAACAGAATAATAATTAAAATAATTTTCTTATTTCAAAAAGTGGAAATAATTTCGAAGAATTTCAGAACCTTAGGAGCTTCACTAGTGTCAAGTTGTTCAAAAAATATTTCAAATTCCTAACATTTTCTAATTTGTTAAAAAACTAACATCTTTGGACAATTTTGCTATTTATGATTGAAAAACAAGTCATGTGTATATAAGAAAACCTAATTTATTATTTTTTTAAAATTATAATTTTAAGCTAAAAAATGGCAGAACTCTGGTACCCAACTTGATTTAACTTCCATTGCACAGAACTGAAAAACACTATTCAAAATTAAAAATAAAAAAAAAGAATTTTAGCTGAAAGATAAATTTTTCACAATCAGTAATTATTCTCTATTAATTTTAAAAATAATGCACTACTCATTCAAAGCTTCATAGCTATCTTAAATTAGACAGAATACTGTATGAAGAAATGCAACATTGCCAATTTTTCTGAAATAAAATACTTTTTACAAAGATAAGTATAATCTGAATTCACCTGAGTGAGAAAAAAAAATTAACAGACTGGAAGCTAAGTTAATTTGCAGCTGCCTTGCTAAAAATCAAAAATTTCTCAAAATATGGGAACTGAAGAACAGCTGCATGAATACTTAAATAGCCAGATATTTTGTGTGCATTAATTAAAAATTCATCATCTAACAGAAAACTTGTTTTACAGGGAAAAAACGTTTCATAATTTGATTTTTTTTTTTTTTTTTTTTTTTTTTTTTTAAATCAATGCAAGATACAGGAAATATTCTCATCTATTAATTTCATATTGTAAAACATTTCTTCATAAATGTTTTAATGCCAACTTGAAACTAAAACAATTTTTTTTTGTATCTCCCTTTTAAAGTAAATATAAAGTTCTTTAAAGTAAACATAACAGTTCAGTTAACTAATCTTTTAACATGTTTTAATTTTTATTTATTACAGATGGCTCTAATTCTGAATACTTTTAAGATGACAGAGAAAAGAAAAAATACTCTGGATTTGCAGATATGTAGCAACAAAAAAATATATATATTTAACATTTTTAAAATTATGCAACGAATTATTAATTTTAAAAGTTAAATTTTTTTTTATATATTAATTTTGTTTAACTTCTCACTATTGTAATTTGCCACCATTATCTATTTATTGTAGTGAATACTACTATCTCACATTATCTACTACTACCTAAATCATTATCCATATCAAAAAACGTAATAGCAATTGGCCTCCTAAAAAATGCAGGTTTTAAAATTTTTTTATCCTCAAACTGATTGACATTTCATTTTTTCATTATCTCATTTAAATCAGAAATAAAGAATCACTTTCTCGATGTCATGTTTTATCTCAAGGATTTAATCAATTGCTTTCGTGAGTTGAAATTACAATATATCTCTATTTCTGTTTGAATTTATTAATAATCTTATAATTCATGTAGTATTCCAATAAAAATTTTAATAGGTCGTGAAAAAATATTGTAACTTATTTTCATCTGCCATACTTATATATAAATCTGGACAGACCAAGCCAGATATTTTGCAATTACAGACATTCCCTTGGAGCTCCAAAAGTGAAGAAATTTTTTTTAAATATTATGGTAAAAAAGATTTTGCAGTTTTAAATTCCTTTATAACTATTTACATTTCTCTCATTAAACTTAAATGGAAAATCTGGCACTTTGAAGTTACTTCGTTCTGACTTAACTCAAAAACTATTAAATAAAACAATGCAATTTCGTACAATTCCAGAAGTAATGTGGTAATTAATTTCGGACAATTTATTTCAGTTTTGCAAAAACTATTAGCAGCAGAATTATATATGTACACCCAAGACCAAAAAATTTATCTCTTTTTAAAATTTCAAATTAGTTGACAAATACAAAATTAAATATTTAGTTTTGGTTAAATTCTTCCTATGGGTTTGACACTCTGTTTCCTTTCTTTGACATCTGACAATATTTTTCCACTATACTTTAGTGATACTATTAACTTTCAATAGAAATCTTTCAGATTTGAATTTTAAAACACACGTTATTTTAAATTTTCCTTCATGTTGAACTTGATAGTGCAATCCATTTGCTTACAGTGCAAATCCATGGATAAAAATCTGAGCAAAATGAGTAAATAATGTTTCTCTTTCTCTATGTTAATTTTCTAAAATCATTCAAATTGTATAATTAAATATAAACCTTATTAATTTCTTCAAATTACCCAGTATAATATTACCTTCCGCAGATCCATTTTTGGGTCAATCCTTGGTAGCTAACTAATCAAACGTGCTTCAGTACTGCAGTAAGAACGAGATGTAAAAAATCCCTCTATTTACGTTTCTAACTCAGTTTGAGCTTCTGTTTTCATATTTTGTAACCTGGCAATCTTCTTACGAAATTATTTTAAATATTCTTGAATGATTGCGGTGTGTGTAAGTTCATTTGAATTTGCTATCCGTTTGCTATTTTCGTTTCAATTTTTTTAGAGCTCCTCAAATTATTGTACTTATATTTTGCTTTGGCAATGATTGTGTGGGCTGAGGAAGATATATCTTTTTGTTTTCCAACTTATTAATATATATATTTTTTAATTTTTTTAAAAAAATATTTTATTTTCATTATTTTTCTTCTCTTTTTATAAATTTTTATTATTTTCCATGTTTTCTCAATATTTTTAACTTGAATATATAGATGTTTAAAAAAGTAGCGTCAGTTTAACTGCAGCTCTTAAAAAAGACCAAAATACAGCATTTCCAGGCACAATATTTTCAAAATATTTTGGATCAAGAGGACTCACTAGGAGCAACTTTATAGGGTGCCCCTTTCTAGTCAGCACCAAGTCGAGGACCCCAGAAATGTGCCTTTTTATATAGTTCACATTTTTTCCCTGTATTTGGTATTAATGGAATGGATAAAATGTATGGGAAACCTAACGTTAGAAGAAGAAAATTCCTTGAATATTTTAGGTTTTCGAAGAAAAGCTCACAGAGATATAAATCCTAAAAGTAAATTTAAAAAAAAGTAATAAAGTGGAAATTTACTTGACTTTTTTTCTCCCCTAAGGAAATAAAATTTCCTGAGAATCGCTGGTTTTCTCTGAGCTATTGGAACATTTCAAAAATTAATTATTATGCTCAATTTTTAATTATAATAATATTTTGAAGAATAAATAATAAAAAATAAAAAAAATAAAATAAAAAACAGATTAGTTGAGCAAATAACAAATTAAGGGTAGAAAGCAATATCTCCTGCATTTTTTTTTATTATTAAAATATGCATTTTTGAAAAAATTTTAATTATGAACAATTTCTGTATTGAAACCATAAATCCTTAATAGAAACTCGTCGCAGGAATGGTTTATTTTAATCACAGACCATAGACACATTAGCTTACTTTAATGTCAAGCAGAATTCATTGAAGTTTAAAATAGTGCAAAAACAGGAATTAGCTGCCAATAACTGTGAAACATAATTTAGGTTAAGTTCCTGTCCCAAACAGAGCTGTAAATTAAATTTGGCCAAAATAATAATGAAAAAAAAAATTTCAAAAAATTGGAGAGTAGACAGTTAGCATTTCTAAACTATTTCTAAATCAGCAACTAATTTTCCTCAGGAAAAAGAAAAAAATTGGATCATGAAAAAATGTGATATATCATCATCATGGCTATTAATGCTGAAAGAATAAGGCAAAGCATCTGAAAACATTGTCACCTTTGCGTGTATTTCTGCGTATAGACCGTGGAACATTGTTGCTGTAAATATAAATCTTTTTAAAACCATTGTTTATAAGTTTCCTCAATTGGCAAAGTTATCTGTTGACAAATTTTGAAACAAGTTTAGCTAATATAGCTCTGGTTTCCTTAACGAAATGTAGAAAACACACTTTTCTCTCCATCTAAATTTCTTTGATTGATAAAAATCTTTGATCATTTTTGAGAAACTTGGTAATTTCACGTTCTGAAACTAGTTGGATAACGATCATAAACTGATGATATTTATCCAATGTTTATTTGTATGTGATATTGAATTTAAAAAAAAAAAAACAATGAATAAAAACACCTATTAAAATAGACAGTAATTACAAAACATTTAAATACACAAAATGCATGCTATAAAAGTATAAATCACATAAAGAAATTAAAAAAAAAAAAAAGAAGAAATGAAAAAAAAGAAAAAAACTTCAAGCACAGGATATAATAATTTGAGAACTACAGGCAGAAAGTTTAAAAGGTAAGGGGGAATTATGGAAATAAGTGCAAGGAGCCATTGCAGCCGGTGATACATAACATGAAAGCAATTAAAATAGAGCCGAATTTTAAACAGCAAAAGCAATTTGTATGTGCTCACTCGCAATGGATACTTTCACTTTTAATTGACTTTAAAAGACAAAAACATTCATTTTCAACAGTAAAAGCTCAACTATGCAAAATTCTTTTTAGCTTAATTACTAATATTTTATTACGCTAACTTACCAAGCAATAAGCGAGCAGCTTAAATAAAAGCTTAGTACACATTCTATGAACTTAGCAACATTTAACATCAAAATAGCATAACCGTAAAAAAAGAATTTAGAACATGTAAAAAAGTAAAATATACATTACCATCTCAAAGTGATGTTCTTAATGGCACAAGGAAAATAATCCAGAAAATGTAACCATTTTATTTCACATGAATTAAAAAGTAATAAAACATTTAAGAGATAAAATAGAAGAATAAAGAACGAAAACCATTTTTGCTTCAGCATCTTACATATTTCGATCAATAGTAACGCTGTAGTCGAGGACAGTTTGCATGAATACCAACTGAAAGGCCCATTAACAGGCGTTTGTTGTTTGAACATTTTAACTTGCAATTGAAATACAGACTTGAAATTTATCTATGAGAGTGATTCAACTCAGTTAAACCACTTAATTTTCTTGCTAACTATCCCTACTGCAGTTAGCCTTAAACAGTCACTTCTGAACTGAGAACGACAACCACCAGCAGTCATTCAAAAATTTTTAATAAACTGAAAAAGCACTGCAGTTCCAAAATTGCGATGGAAGAAATCATATAAATAAGATTTGTTTTATAAAAATAAAACAGAAAATGAGAAAAAAAAATCCATTTGATTCAAGTTTGCATAACTCAACATTGGAGTTTTACTTTTAAGCATAGCCAAGCTTTTACCATTTTAAGCCAGATAATTTGCCTTTTTCTTAAAATAAATGTTTTAACTACAGTAAAACCTTGTTATTGTCTATCAGGAGGGGTTACTGTGAAACGCACAGCAAATTGTTACATCATGCGCTTGAAGTCCGAATTTACCTGTTATTCGCTGTAGTCAAATCTCCTCTAGCATAGGGAGCTGTGGCAGCCTGTTTAGGTTGCTCATCGCGTCTTCTTATTGGGCTATGTGGCAAGAAAATTTTGTGTCAAAAACCAAAAAGTAGGGTTCAAAAATATTTTTCCTTAAACCAAATTATTAAAAACAACTCTTAGATAACACTTTAAAATTACTTTTGAATTAAATAATGTTAATACATGATTAGTTGGCTTATTTTAAAATTTAAACAAAAAAAAATATATATATTTTGCAGCCTTTAGTTTTAATACCACAGTCAAACTTGATCGCTCACTTCTGCAGAAATATCAATATTGTTTTAGCAATGAAAACACTCATTCAAACCTTTAGCACGCAAACACAAAAGAAAACAAATTTTAAACAATTTAGATTTCAGATCAGTGTAAAATGCAAGCAAGGTTAATACCGGTGGGAGGATGATCAAGTTTTACTGGATATAAAATATAAAGGCTACTCGTACTACTTTGTCCTATTTGTTAAAATTTCAAGGTTTTACAGTAGTAAAAAAATTTATGTTATTATGCCACAATAGCTCAGAAAAAAAGCGACTTGCACTTTTAATGGGCAAGAGATAAACTACCAAAAAAAATAATAATTAATTAGCTGTGAATATACTGCAAGTAAAAAGATAATTACTCCTCCAAACCAAATTTTTTAGGAAAAAAAAATTTCTTCTCAGACTAAATTACTCTTAATGCAGTTTTCTCAACTATTCTCCAACATTACTCATTCCCATGTATGTAACCCCTTTTAATGTCTAAAAGCACTTTAAAATGAAGATAACATTTATACTCATGCGAGGATGGAAACATCTAAACCATGCAAATTATAAAAATAAAAAGATTTTTCTAATATATAAATGAAATGCATAAAAACTTGCAGGCTAATCACAGCTATAAATAAAGATCTTAAGGAATTAAAAAAAAAAGTAACGAATCTATATCTACTAAAATTCTTGATAATTTTAAATACTTCTACTAGGAAAAAAGGGACAAGGTAACACATAATTACATGCATTACTTAAATTTTACATGCAAAGTAATATAAATTAGAATAACAATAAAGAATTCTGGACACTTACCCAAAACCCTGTCCATAGTATTGACCATAGGGATACTGCATGCCTTGCATAAACTGGCCAGCTTGCATTTGGGGATAACCTTGGGGATACCAATAACCCATTTGTTGGTAAGGGTAAGTATATTGTGCAGCTATGCTTTGGAAAGCCTCATGATTGTCCTAAAAACAAATACATCCACCAAAAATATAAACTAATGTTTAATAAGAGGAAAAATTATTTTCTTTAAAATAGTGTACCGTTAATCTATTTAAAATTAAAAGATTTGTAAATAAGAGAATAATTTCTGACTAAATCTATAAATTAACCGCATCTAACAATTAATGTAAAAAATAAGGTAAATAGCAGTGGAATATTTTCAAAATTTCCTTTTCAGCTATATATGTTTAAACAAATTACTTTTTACAAAAAAAAATGCTGTTCACTAACCACATTCAAAATACACGCAATTTGCTTGTCAATACAGTAAAAAGAAATAGATAAAAGGAAAAATAGCAACAAAAAAAAAAAACAATATTATCTACTAATAATACAAACAAAAAACTCTTTAATAAAATTAAGCCTTGCATAGTTTTAGAATGTTATGACAGTTTATTTTAAACTGATTTATTAAAACACAAACTTTAAAAATCATAAAATTCTATATCATTGTTCTAAATAGGATTAGAAATTCTTGCGCTTTGCAACATAAACTAAATGTTTCAGAAAAACAAACAGCTGTCAGTACTTTAAAGTCACAAGTAACTCTGATAATAATCACATTTAATTTTAAGATACTTTCATAAACTTTAGATGTGTCATAATTTCCTAAGATAGTACGTGCTATTATTCCTTATGAAGTTCATTTAATTCTAACTGGATTTTGATTTGAAACAAAAGAAAAATTTATATTAGGTTTTATTTACCTGTTGCTGCTGTTGGTTATTTGGATCTCCAGCTTCTTTACCCCAAGAGCATTTAACTGTCTGACCATTAATTTCTGTGTTGTGGGTTGATACTATGGCATGGGTAGCAGATTCTTTTGTACCAAATCTGAAAATAATAAGGCAAGAACGATACGATCAGGAATTGAAGAGCAATATTTTTCTTTTCTTATTAAGTTAACAAGGATTACTACAAGGGTCGGCATTTTAATTCTTATTTTCATGAAGCATTTTAGCACATTCCAAATTTTTATGAAAAACTAAAATATTGAAGTAAAATATTTACCAAAAAGTTGAATTTTAATTTTCTATATGTTGTTATGTGTAGTAACATATATGTTGCGTGCACTTTTTAAATTGAATCTAAAAAAAATTGCAAAAGATATTTTTTTGATGATGCTTATTTTGCTTCTGCAAATGTGGAGGTAAAGAATAGTGACCTGTTAAAAGTCCCAAAAGAAAATCATTCAATTTATTACAATGTGGTAAATATCAGTAATATTTTAGTTTAGCACAGTTGTTTTAAAAGATAAGAGATTTTTTTTATCTATTTTATAAAAAAATTTCTAAACCATTAAAGACCTCACAATAATGCAATAATATATCTGCAATTCCTTGAAGTGCAGCAAAAAAAAAAAAAAAAAAAAAAAAAAAAAAAAAAAAAAAAAAAAAAAATTTGAATACTTCCAATAAGGTTTAGCAATAGTTCCGGATGAAATTGTTGAGAGACGACGACAGAACAAGGAAGGTAATTGTGAAATAGTAAAGATGAAATTAAATCAAATATTAACACTATTATTTGAAAGACATAAATGAAAGTAGCCAGAGATATAACTGGGATTTTTCTCAGACTAAAAATGCTAGACATTTTTGCTAAAGTGAAAGTCACTGTCATAAGCATAAAATTTAATTCATTAAAATAGAGAAAAAAAAATTTTGGCTAGTGCCAATCTAATAACAAAATATATGAAGTGTTTAATGATTCAATTTGTTTAATAGCTTTTTAAAGTAAATTTTATTTTTAATATATCTTCTATTATTACTGTATGCTGTTATAGATTTAATAATAAAATTATTTCATTATCTTTACGATATACTATGAATTCGCCCATCCGGGGGGGGGNAAAAAAAAAAAAAAAAAAAAAAAAAAAAAAAAAAAAAAAAAAAAAAAAAAAAAACATATTTGGCCTTTGTTGAATAGGAAATAAAATATAAGTGAAAAAATATAAACTAAAAATAATAAGTAGTAACTTTAACTGTTCCTCATTCAATTTCTTTATCCCCTTTTTTATATTAAAACCCTTCATTTGTTCACAAGGGTTGCTATAGTGGAGTTACGATGTAGAGGGAAACGGCAAAATAAAATCAAGGATGTCTCAAAAAGGCACCATATTATGAATTGGTATACCTTTAAAAAATCAGTATGGCATGGAATCTAAATAACTAAATAATATTAGCATCGCGCTAATAATACATTTTAAGCATAAAAATATTGCTGCAATATAAACAGAGAGAAAAAGATGTTTCATTTTTGATAATTTACACAACCTAGGTAGAAATACTTCCCCATCAATTTGTTTTTCAAACAAATTTGCTCCATTTTACTTCAATATGTGTTTACCCAAACAAAACTATCTGCCATCACCGCACTTAAGATTCGTTAGTTACGAATTTTTGAAGGATACACAAAACAACTAAATGTGAAAAACTCTGGAACAAATATTATATTTGAATTACTCCTTAGCTTTATTTTTGCAAAAAAGACCTACATACATCTAAACAAATAACTTTTTTTTAAAATATCTTACCGAATAAAAGCATAGCCTTTGTCTTTAAAAACTCTAACTTCTTGTATTTGTCCAAAAGCACTAAAAGTTTTTTGCATTAACTCATCTGAAAAAGGGAAAAAGAATACATAAAATTCAAATTAAGCAAGTTGTTTTTTAAAAATTTTTTTATTTTTCAATGAAAAAAACTTACCAGTAAGTCCTTGAGCTATTCCCCCGCAATATACAGTACAATTTGTTGGGCTTGACTGATTATAAACTTCATCAAATGTAAGGAGTTTGGCAATAGCTGAAGGAAAAGAGAACAAGAAATTAAAATACATGGCAAATTAAATAATTGTGGAAAAGTAAATTTAAAATAATTTTAGAAAAAGGGTGAAAAAGCAACATAACTTACAATCACTTTGTGATCTATTTGCAGGCGGTTTTCTCGTTGCCCAATTTGTTCGAATAGCCCTACTTCCTAACCATTGACCATTCATAACATTAATTGCATTTTCAGCATCCTGCAAAAAATATAAACATTTTAATTAAAAATAGCTCAAAAGTTAAATGTTACTTAAAAATCAAAATGGTGGTGGAAATAGGAAGTAAAAAATACCTTACAACAAAAATTAAAAAAATTAAATAGAAAAGCATGTCAAACTATCTTGAACAAAAAGAAAGCATATTTTACATAAACATTATTTATATACTTATTCCCCCCCTCCCTGCTATATGTGCACATTGACAGTGAAACTAACTGTAAAGCTTAAAATATAAATACTGTATAAAAAATAAATACTAAATAAAAAAATCAATGAAGTAGAAATATTAAGAAAAAATAGACTTTTAACATAGAATTTTCTTTTAATTTTTTCCTCCCTTGGAGATTCCAAGCTACTATTTTTAAATATTTATAAACAAATATTCTGATCAACAATTTACATTTCATAATTTAGGAAATTTTTTTTTCACCTGGGTGAAAAAGCTAATGATTAATTTTTACTTTCTGCATTTAGACCATTCAGTAATGGAGCATCCTTGCAAAAATGCTCCATTACTGCATAAGTTACTGTACTTTTTCATTAACATTAAATTTAACTTTTATCTTTTATTCAAATTGTTATAAAGTTATTATATAAACACAACACAAATTTATAATAAATTTAAACTAAGGAAAAACGTTTAGACTTTTGGCGAAGTTTTCACCTTTTTCCTCTGTGCCATGAAATATAAACCATGCATTAATCTGTACCAAAAACGGGAAAAGGTCAAAATTGGTATAATTCTGAGACGGTTAGTTTTTAAAATAAGAGAATACTAAATTAAAATGTTAAAAGTACTTATCTTAAAAACATCAAAAGAACTTTGTAAAAGTAACTGCCCTTCTTAAACTTGCTCAAAACAAATCCAAAGATAATTGATGCCTGTAACTTGAAACGAAACTAACCCTTTTTCTTTCCTAACGGTTTCTTCTGTTCATTTACGGATCCTCCCACCCGACTAGAAACATCTTAACCGATCGTTAGAAAAAAATAATTAAAAAAAAGAACTTTAAAAAAAAACTTTTCATGGACGAAAATTAGTTTAAAAATCAAAATAGTAAGTCACAAATATATTAAAAACAAATCGAAAGCTGCACAAATTAAAGAAAGACGATCTTTTAATATTTACAATGGAAGTAAATAATCAAATAGCATCGTAAACAACTTTAACAAAGTACAAATTTAAGATAGCAAACGATCTTGTGACATAAACTTCGAACTTATAACGAAAATAATGTAATTAATTGCGAAAAATAGTGCCATAAATTATCACTCTTACAACCACATAAGGGTAGACACCTGCTTATGTTTACGTAGTTCGTTCTTACGACGAAAATGAAGTCACAGTTGGTGTAAACTCAACATATGAGTCGAGCTAAAAAATTTCTAAATTCAAAACATTGCACATTGTTCTTTCTAGATCAGTGGTTTCCAACTGGCGGTCCGAGGGTCACATTCGGCCAGCGAAACCTTTTTTTGTGGCCTGTGAACTAAAACATATTGGCTGTCATTTTTTGCGGGCAATTTTCGTAAAAAATCTATGAGTTTAAAATATTTTTCTTTTGTTAAAAAAATCCAATTTCTTTGTTTCTGTGAAATTGAACATACCAAAGGTGCAAAAAAAATTTTTTTTCTCAGGTTTTGCATCTAAGAAAATATTTATTATTATTATTTGTAATTCAATACTTTTGTTTTATACAACTTGATAAAAATCTGACAGTAATGTTTAATGTTCCTTGAAACATTAAAAGAGTCCTATATAAAATTTAGATAAAGTTGCGGCCTGCCATTTGACTGTGTTTTTAATTGCGGCCCACGGCCTCATGTAAGTTGGATACCCCTCTTCTAGATGATATATTTGTCTTCAAAAATGCGATGCTTCCTCAAATAAAATTTCTTGTATAAATATTATAAATGACTATTACTATAAGCTAATTGTATATATATATTAAAATAGTTTTTGAAAGCGGTAAATTGATACAGGGTTATTCATATGTATCTCATTGTTTATGCTTCATCGATATTTCCAATCAACGAATGCCCTACTATATTACCGGTGAATAAGTCCTTGGTTTTCGTAAAATTTCGGGCGTATGTAAAGTCGACTTAAACACAATTTGCATTTAGCTTTTAAAACACTATATGTGATGATGCATATATTTACAAACTGCATAAAACACATTAAAACATTTTATGCCATTTTCAGAAATAGCACAATAAAAGCTAGATAAAAAATGGACGAAACTAACAACGATAATTGTAATGAATTCAAAACAGTTATAGAAATAGCATAGATTTAATAGCATAGCATAGATTTAATAGCATAGATCACTAAAAATTTTTTATTACAGAACGACAAGGCCTTTAACGAATAGTTTTAACATTAGCACTTTTCGAAGTTCTACAGTATACATACGCTGTTTAGTATGACCCCCATTATAATGACCCACACATGAAGTCCCGTTTGCTGTTTCATAATTGCAATGTTACTTTAAAGTCATTAGAACGTCCGCACTGAACCGTTCATTCCAATATAGCAACCAAAATTTATTCATTACATTTCGAAAAAGTTTCTAATTATTTAAAGCATGATTTGATTTGATGTTACTACACAATAAACATCTTGAATCGCTTTGAATAAATCAAAAGTAAACATGAATTCTAATCCTAATTTAAAGGGGCCTGTCTAGGTTTTTCTGAGAGATACCTATTTTGTGAAAATTTAGACATAATTCGTGAAAAATTAAAAATTATATTAAAAAAATCAACACAAAAATATTGATTTATCGTTTCTTAAGGAATACAAAATTAAAATTTCAAGAAAAAGTATTTTGTGAAACTACCGTTTTTCCTCAAGTTGAATTTGTGAAGGTACCGCTCAACGGTAGTAAATCCAGCCTGGACAGACCCCTGTTTATGGACAATCATATACTGTGTAAATTTCTTTTCAAAGGATACAATAAAGGTATCAACCATATCTTCCTTGTTTTAAAATTATACTCACTCTTTTTGTAAAATGTCAGTCCCGGTTTATTTTAGTTAAAACATGCGGTAATCGCTGTAGGGGTGGGATTTTAGGGTTAGTAAATTCACTTTGCTTTTAGGATTTCACCTTGAGTTGTAACATTTAAAGCATTTGTGCCTGCCGTACGTTTGGGACGCTTCCTCTAAAATTTTCGTAAGGGAACAACATAGAACTCATCAAAATTTGACAATACACACCCTGAGTATTCGTTCTTAACATATATCTATAGGTGGGAGCACATTTTCAAAATTATAATGGTGATAAAAAAAAGGTATAAATTTTTATCATTCTATAAATAATGTTATTTATTAGATAAAACATTATTATTAAATAAGTGTTTTTCCCCTCTATAGTTGTTTTCGAGAGTTTAGATATTGTCCTTATTTTGGGAAGGTAGGCATGAAAGGGTAAGTGTTTTAGTGTTACAACATTTCATCTCAATAACTCATTTCAACATGTATTCTTGCATATTTACTAATTAAAATAAAAATTTACTTTTCTAAATTATATATACAGAAATTTTTTTCATCAATTTTACTTTGTTTTTAAAAGAAGTAAATTTTAAAAATTTTTTGCAATGTTTTGGAAATTTTTTTTTAAAAAAAATCATTTATTTACAAATAAAAAATATTTTACAGCAAACTGTAACATTAAAGATAGTGAGAATTGAGAAAATATTTCATAATTTCACAAAAATTATAAAGTATTTTAAATTTTTGTTTTTTTATCACTAAAATTGAGAAAAGGAAAGTATCTCTGAAAATATTAAAATATTTTAATGAAACTGTCATAAAATAAAGCATCTTAAACAACGTATCATGTTACACATATAATAAAAAGTTAACATTTAAATTTAATAATACCTGAAATATTTCTTTGTAAGAACGAAATATATGAAACGTGACTCTTGTCTCATATATTGGTTTTTGAAATTTTTTATGTAAACGCTTATCGGTGTTCCATACGACGGTCTAAGTCTAAGAGTGGTTGCTGTCATTTTTATTTGGGTTAGAAAGCGCAATTCAAAATACTTATATATATAGTTTGTGTTCCATCCTTCTGAAAACTGTTAGACTCCTTAAGTTTTAAACGAGAAATATATTTAACGTATTAATTATGAAAGACCAGGTTGACCTATGACTAAAACACGCAGATACAAAGTGCAAGATTTAATTAGAAATTATGGAGTAAATCAAAATAGTCAAGGCGAATAAAACACAGTTACGGCTGCAGAAATGATGGTAGAAATATCACTAGAAAGTGCAGTGTAAATGCAAAATTCGAATGTATATTAAAAAACATACAAAATAACTAAATTTTATATTTTGGAATGAAGCTAATATTCTTTTACTGTAAACGACTTGTACCCTTTCGTGTCAAGCATCTGAAAATTAGGACTGATTTTTGATTTTTATGAAACAAATATTTTTAAAAGTTTAGTTTTTTTTTTTTAACCTCTATTTGACGCCATCAAGAAGAATATTAAGTTGAAAAAAACTCGGGCTCTCAAACGGCATATGTTTACTTAAAGTCAAACTTTATTTTTCTACGTTGGAATTAGTTAAAAACCTTTATATTTTTCCAACTTTTTCTCCCATGTTCTAAAATTTTCCAGACTGTCACAAACGTGGAGTACTCTCCTTGAATCAGTGAGCAGTGTAGTGTAATTTAGAAGTATGATACTCCCTCCTCGTTTATACAGTTTTCACCTCTCCAAATAGTACCGTTTTTTTTTTTTTTTTTTTTTTTTTTTTTTTTTTGTAAACAACGAGTTAATTAACACTCAAAGTTTAATGTGCCTAGGTATATAATTACGCGCCAGATTTCTGAAGGCCCTATTATGAACACAATTACATGCCGCTTCAAGAGATTTTTCTTAAGTGTAAACTACTCATACAAGAATTATTTCTTCGATGTTGTTTGAAGTGGTCTATTATAATAAGATTCAAATATTCTATTTAATAAGATTCAAATAGTCTATTGAAGCAAATGGCAAGTGCGTAAATTTTACATAAAAACATGGAAGAGTAGAAGAAAAAATACCTGTGCTTGATACTAAGTATTTTACCCTTTAGTCTAGACCAGGGATGGGCAAACTACGGCCCGCGGACTAACTGTGGCTCGCCGGAAGGTTTTTTCCGGCCCCCGGATAGAATTTTAACTCGCCGATCCGTGGCGAATATAAACAATATACTTTATACATCCATTTTCTTGCCTACTTTGTTTACAGTTGTTTCTTTTTTAACGCAGTTTTGATGACCTTTTTACTTTCTCTATTTTTGTTCTACAAAGCATAAATTGATGGAAATAGTTAGCACAGACAGCTTCAATCGGTAAGATGTTGCAAGCAGAAGTTCTTTATAGAATAGCCGTAGATTGGCTCCAACGTAGGTTTGTCTTTCTCGAGGAGCAGACGTATGGGGAATCTACTATAGGTGAATTGCACTTCACATGTGGCAGACTGCGCATTTTAAGCTCCAACGAGAGGATTTTTCAGCCGGCGTGAGTTCTAAAAGTTTTTGGGTCTGGAAAAATTGCACACATATGTCATTGTAAATAATGGTGAAATTATTAAATTTATGATATGGCTAGTACTTTTTCGACTCATTTGTTAACTTTTTTTAACGGGTAAAAAAGCTACTAAAAACGCAAAGTTGATTTAAGAGTGTCATGCGTTCAATGATGAATGGACTTGGACAGAGAGAAAAATCAATTCATAGATGATATCTGCGCCCACCTTAAAGCTTTTAAACTGAAGCTTAATCTGTTAGCTGGGCAGCTAGCTAAGAACGACTTGTCTTATTTCTCGAGGTTAAATTCAATACCCTCACTAAATAAGGAAAAGCTTGGGAATTATGAAAATGGCTTGAAAAAACTCCATTTTGATTCTGAAAGCAGATTTCAGGATTTAAGTGCCATTCAAATAGAATTAAATATTTTTACCATGCCTTTCAACGTTATTGTGAAACAGTGAGGTCGGATTTGCAGCTTGAATTAATTGAGTTGCAATCTAACAATCAACTGGAGCAGTTGTTTCTAAACATGCTAAAGTTTGAGTTTCACAAATCATTACCAATAGATAGTTTTCAAAATTTTATCTCATGCCCAGAAAATCAGTGCTATCTTTGCTTCATCTTATACATGTGAACAAGTGTTTTCAACTATGAATCTTAAATCGTTTTACAAGTAGACTAATAGACAAGCATTTTCTCTAGTTTCTTAAAATAAGCACATCTCACTTCGAACCTCAATATAAGGAAATGAAATCACAATTTCAATCATCTCATTAAATATCCAAATTAAAACTTGTATATCCTATTTTTTTTATTTTAGAAGTTTTGACTTGGCCCCAACTTTTTTTCTCTCGATTTTCGGCCCTCGACCAAAAAAGTTTGAGATCAAGGGGTCGCTTTATTAGATTAGGAGAAATAGCGCTTGGATAATTTTTAGAATTTCATCAAATTTGAATTTTTCATCAAATGCTATTTTTTAATTTTGAGTAAACATTTTAAAACTACACGTTTTACAGTTTTTAGAATTCTTAATATATATATNAATTTCTACATACAGGGTGCGTAGCCAAATTTGTCAACAAAAAAATAAGCACTTTTTAAGCACTCAAAAAATATTTTTAAGCACCTTGAAAAATAAAATTAGACAGGGTTAGCAAGTTTTTGATAATTGAAAGTTTCATCCGGTTTTATTTACAGTGACGAAGACGATGGCGAGTCACAAACGATGAAATTAACAAGAGAAATGAAATTTTCTATCACTAATAGAGAAAAAAAATTTTTACAATATTTAGTTGGCCCCCGTAATCAGTAAAAATTTGAGAGATTTTTCGATTCTATTACAGAGAGCGGAAAATGAAGCTTGAAGTAGAGAATCTCTTGCAAAATGCAGCAGGGTTGCAAATGAGAGTCAAAAATCTTTACCACTGAATCCAACTCAGTATACGCAAGTGGAGACCCGGAAGTATTTCATCAAACATGTAAAATAAATGGTGCTTTCATACACTACAGACCGGCGGTACGCCGAAATAGGTTGGGGTTGAATTAATTGAGAAAACGTTGAATGTCTTTTTGTAAAATTTGTGGCGAAAATCAACATGGTAAAGAAAAATATCACATTTCGGAAAAGGGAAAATTAAGCACTTTTTAAAAACATCCAAGGAAAAATGCACCTTTAAGGGCTTTTGAAAAACGAAAATAAGCACTTTTTAAAATCGCTACGCACCCTGTTAAAATCTAATTTTATTACATTTTAAGCTGAGGAAAACAGTTTTTGTTGTCGCTAAAAAGTATTTTAACGTTAATTGCATAAAAACGAAGATACTTATCAGAACTCTAATCACAGGCAACTGTATTATACTATTTAACTACCTATCAAAAATTTTGTGCAGAATTGCATTGGCATAATTTTGTTTCAAAAAATTAACAGATTATCTAAAATACCGCACCCTTTATATCGCAAATTGTGATTGGGTGGCATCTTTGTACTTAGTGTGTATAGAAAAATACTGCCGAATGAAGAAAATATCCGACATCAGTTTACTGATGAAAATCAAATAAAAAAGTATTAAAAGCATAATTAGGAGTTTCCCGACCCTTTCAACCGCTAAGTACGGTGGGGAGAGGAAGGGCCTCTTAAGGGTAACATTATAATCATGCAGGGGGGGGGGGACAGTATTTTACAAAATAACTTACCGCTTTTTTCACAAATGACACAAAACCATAACCCTTTGACTTGAGCGTCTGTGGATCTCGCACAACTCTACAATCGCTGCAATTAAAGAATTGATAATTTATTTTTAAAAAAAACACATGAGTAAAATAAGTGACAAATAAATTCACATGAAAAAAAAGAAACTTACGATATTTCTCCGAATACTGCGAAGGCCTCTCGTAATTGTGCAGTTTCTATTTCAGGACTAAGATCTCCAACAAAAATATGGTGGTGTTCTGTAAAGAGAAGGAAAAAAAAACTAATTAGAGGTATCAAAGTAATTCTTTTCGCAAGAGCAGTAAGCTAAAATACTAATCACAGCATCAATCTTTTCAGTATTTATGACCAAGATATTCTGGATCTGATTTCGCAATAAGTTACAAGCAGTTGCCCCCACACCTAACAATTAAGACGTTTTATTCCATCGTAGTTTTTTTTTCTTTTGAAATAAAAAAAAAGAGGACATGTTACATTACATATTAATAAATCCCATTATAGTAAAGGAGGACAGCTTAAGTCTCTTTTTAGAAAATTAGATCATAAAAATCTATTATTCGATAACAGAGTAGCGTTTCCAAATAGCATTTCGAGGAAGAATTAAAAGGGTTCCGAGAAATCTGATTTCTGTTAAATCAGTAAAGAATTGCGAAATCTTTAATTAGATTTATAACGAGTTGTGGTGGCTCAGGGGATAGAGCGCTCGTCTCCCAAAGAGGTGATCCGGGTTTAAATACCCAGCGATGGCTGAGATTTAAACTCTGCACCCGACTACAGTGTTGACGAAAAATATCCTCAGTGGTAAACGAATCATGGGTTTGATTCCCCTTTTCGTCAAGCTAACCGTGGGAAGTTCCGTAGTTTTTCTCTCCATGTAAAGTAAATGCGAGTTAGCTACATCAAAAAGTCCTCCACGAAGGCAAATTTCTCCCAATACTTATACTTGATCCAGGAGTTCTTCTGGATTGGGTTCAAAATTACAAGGATACAAAGTTGAACATTGAGAGTATTAAACTCAAAATTGGGTCACCTATTCAACGAAAGTTATAAAATAAAGTTACATTTATATCAAATCAGTAATCTATTATTTATTTAGTATACTATTATTTATATGAAGAAAAATGCTAACAATAAATGGCTATGATATTTTTTTTAGATAAATATTTCTAACATTATAGTAAATTAATTATGAAAAGAACGTGTATTTATAAAACAGTACATTAGTATTTCCATTGCTCTTTCCAAATCAAAAGAACTAAATTTGTTATTAAAAGAAAATTCCCCTAATACCATTTTTAATGTGCATAAGAGTTTTTTTTTTTCAATGAAAACCAGAATTCAACTTATTTTATTTATTTACAGCATATCACACTCCGGTAAGAAAAGTGACACAAGTCAAAAAGCAACAATTTTGAGGTTATGTCAATAAAAAATATGTATGAAGTGCCCCCATCAAGCTCAAAAAGTGTCACATCTCTAACTCGCAATTTATCCAATTGAGGGCAGTTGTGTCAGTTCTGTATCTATTTCAGAATAAGTTTTATAGTATTCTTTAAGTTGATTTTTCTGAAATGCTGCATTTTAGAGTTATTATGACACTGCCCTAGACAAGACATGTTTATACACGAAAAACAAATTCATAACTAAACTATACCTTGATATACAGCTCCAAGACTGCGATTTTAAATATCAGATTTAAAACCTTTGATGATAAAAAAAAATATATATATATATATAATTCCTCGTATTAAATACTTTTAAAATAAACTAGTTTCATTGGTTAATACTTTCGCAATCTTCATTATGGTTCTGCCGTAGGAAGACTACTCCTGCAAGGTTCCAGAACTGATAAAAATTGGAAATCGCCAACATAGAGTATAAAATAGGCGAATATTCAAGTTCAAATTTTTTAAAAGAAATAAAAACGTGTGAGTGGATGTCCGTGTGGGAAAAATAGGAGTTTTATTTTTTTATTTTTTACTGAATAACATAAAACGTGCCTTTCGTTATACATGTACGATCAGCTGCGATTGCCATATTACAGAAAAATGTTACAACAATAACAGTGTTTTGTGTTGACAATTACAACAAAATTGCTTGTGGTGGCATTTATTTGATTTTTCTAACGTGTAACATAATTTTTTTCAGTTATTCCTTTTACTGTAAAAATGTATAACAGTACACGAATACTTGAAATAAGAGTTGGAAAAAAAAACAAAATTTTTAAAATGTATTTACAAGAACAATATTTTAAGAAAAAATACGGTATCTCAAACTAATTAATTTTCCCTAACTTATTGAGTTGGAATTTTATCATCCATTATTATTTCTTTTATGGTACTATAATTGTTCATTCATTGCGGGATAATAATAAATTAATAAAAATTTGGGGCCATTAATGGTAATTGTGAAAGTGGATTCGCGATGTTTCACGCTATCTCTTAAAATAAATCTATTTTAAAAGAAAGAAAAATCTTAGGTTTTGTGGTTTAACATCATTAAGTCCCCGTTAGTGCAAAAATATGAAGTATGGGAAAGTTTGTAGAAAACCGTGTAGACAAAAATTAACTTTCCATCAACCCCCGAAACATGTTAGGCAAGCGGCATAAGTTGACACGCAGTCCGCTATCGAAGCTAATTTTTCCCCGCTAAAATTGACATTGTTGAAAATCGTTAGGTCGCTTAAAATAAGAACCAAAGCAATCCGAGTGTTTTAATGGATACATGAAATGAATTGAAACACTCAATTTTTTATAACGAAATAATAAAACATTAAATGAATAATAAAAATAGAAAATTGACATTTATTATTATTCCAGATTTTTAGTTTTGTTAAGAAATAATAAAAGTGATGAAATAAGTGATTAAGTTTCTCCGGCCTACATAGCTTACTTTTAAATAGCTTTCATAAAATGTTTAGAGGAGGGAGGAGCGAAGATTTAACAGTAATTCTTCCATTGAAGTGACGCCACTGTACCCGTGCTGTGAACCGTGGCTATTGCATGTCGGTCAGCTGATCTTCAGATTTTCTTACAAGTATATATTCGGAGATTTTCCAAGAATTATAAATTAAAATGCTATTTAGTGTACTGCAAAAAAATTCTTAGAAATTTAATTCAGTATAATGAATTTTAAAACTAGGTAGACTAACTTCTGCCCCGTGTGTATGAGCGCCGGTTGAAAACGGCGCTCATACACCAAGGGCACCGCGTGTATGCCGGCAAATTACGGCGATCGTAACGAAAAAGTTAATTTCAGTTAATCTTCTTATTTCAGAAGAATTTTGTTATTTAATGAGTGTAATGTTGGCATATCACACTTAGATTTAATTTTAATACACATCAAGGCTTTCCAATAATTTTTAAATAATGCAGTCATTTTTTTTTTTAATAAACATTTTTTTCAACTTTTCAGCCTGAATCATTTTTATTTTTTGGTTTCCCCAGTGTTATTACCCCAATTTGATACTGATGCTTAGTAAAACAATTTTTCCACATTCATTTTACTTTACTTTACCGAACTGTGGCTTAGCTATGTGAAGTGCTAGGTAGATTTTTTCCATAAGGAAAATTTTTGGATGCCTTTCTCACTAATCGATCTAAGGTGATTTTTGATATTTACACTGTATAACAAGAATATCATATCTGAAATCAATACCTTAATTTTAATCAGAAATTCGATTTTATTTACAGCAAAAAGCTGCCATTTAATAGCCCTATTATAAAATATAATAGCCCTATTAAAAAATATAACTTGCCAAAACATACATAAATCGCCAATATTAACATCACAAATTTACCACTATCTGCATGTAATTCGTACAGAAGCTTAAAAAAAATCTACATTTTGTTAGTGACGCCATTGATGCTTAATTAATTTTGAAAATAGGCACCTGGTATCATAATTGGTACAATTTAAATGGATACCAAATATAAGTTAATAGACATTAAATATGGGTAAAATTTATATTAATATATTTGATACCAATTAAAGCTTCACCAATATTGTGCAGTTTAAATAAAAAATACCGTAGAACAGGCTATTTTTATGGCCCTCCCAATGGCTAAGTACAGGAGAAAATTGTTTAATTGTAGTAAATTCTGACAATTATGAGTTTACCACAATGAGCAATAGCATCTTGTCAAACGATACTGAATAGAGTTAATTTTTATTTTGATGGGATGAACTACTAAAAACCTGTTTTGCTTAATCTTATAACGTAAGCTATTTTAAGCGCAAATGATAAATAAGTTAATGAAATTATTTTAGCTTCATTAATTATGTTGTGTAGACAAATGTAGTCAACGCCACTAAAAATAATTCCAAGACGCGATGAATGGATTCATGTTGAGTTACTTCTGAAGCATTTTTAGAAGAGGAGACAAGTCTAATCTGAGTAAGTGTTTAAGGGGTCATATTACTCTTGCATTAAATAAAGGTACAATCATTCCTTTTATGGATGCTTTATATGCTGATTTAACTTATAATCAATAATTTATCTTCAAAAAACAGTTAAACTGTTCAATTTTTTATAAATTTTTTAAAAAAATTGAAAAAATTCAAAATTTTTAAATTTTAAGATTTTTATTTCAATATATTTTCAATTTTTTTCTTCTTCTTCTCAGTGCTTACAATATTCATCTTAACAATTTTGCACATTCATTTGTCGATATATCAATTAGAACGTTCTTTTATAGATTATTTTGAAAAAAAAAGTAGAAAAAAAGGTAAAAATTTTCTGTTAGGCATATATAACATGCTGCAAAAATTTTAATACCTCATAAAATGCTTATTCCATGCACAGTTTAAATAAAAGTATTATACTTAAGATAAAAAAAGTTTGCTTTAAAGCTTTATCTTAAATAGAAAAAATTCCTTACGGATTTAATTAAGATTAAAACACAAAGTTATCATCTATGAGAAGAAGCACTTTTAAGTTTGTCTGCTGATCAAATTTCGGTTTTAGGGCAGTCTAAAATCATAACTTCTTTAAAAATGTAGATAGATGATTTTTTTTTCAGTGCATTTGAAATAGTTTGAAATTTTATTATAAGCAATAAAAAAATATCGATATTTTGGTCATTTTTTGGGTACTGTGACCCCTTAACTCTTTATATATTCATTTTATTGAAAATGTGAATATAAATCTTAAATAGAAATTATTCTAACTACAATATATGTATGTCTACTACATGAACATGTAATCCGATATTTTTTTGATCTATTGCAGCGAGAAATA